TGATGGGATGGGCAAGGAGCGATTAGGAGCGACTTGTCGTGCAAGCTTGTTTCGAGTCTCAAAATTATGTAGAATAGCTTTAAATGATTCAACAAACTAGAAAAAAATGTAGCCTATTATTACTGTGAGTTTAACTTATCAATTGATCATGTATGGTTTCTACATTCTTGGGAAAATAACGAAACTGATGTACAGTGGAGGCTAATAGGGGCCCTCTAGGAGTTCACTGAGTCACATCATACAGGAGTGAAAAGATGCGCTTTAACAGTCTGTTCTGATTAAAGAAAGTAATTTGTGTTTTATCATTTTTGGTACCATATCAGGTCACCCCAAGACCAGAGCTTTCATCACCCATGGTGGGACAAACGGGATTTACGAGGCCATCTACCACGGTGTTCCCATGGTGGGTATCCCCATGTTCGGCGACCAGCCCGAGAATATGATCCATATGAAGGAAAAGGGAGCTGCAATCATTGTTGACCTCAAGTCCATGAAGACTGAGGACCTTAGAGATGCAATCAATGCTGTCATCAATGAGAAAAAGTAAGCTGTCTTGTAACTATTATAAATATTAATTCATTTAGGCTAATTTTAGTTTTGCTAAAATACAAAACAACAGTTGCCCATTATGAGATGAACTTTCTTGCCACTGCAACAATGTTTACTACAAGTGCTGTCTGAAACCACAAAAAAGTCACAATCTCCCACATAACAAACCAGTCGATACCAGTCTACAGCAGCAATTAAATCAGTTACGCAATAGGAAATAATTTTAAGCTTATATGAAGACAGATTAATCATTTCATTTGTCAAGGTTAGGTTCTGCTGTGCCTCTGTATATTAAGTAAAATGAATATCTTTGGGTTTTAGCAAATTCTGAAGAAGTCACAATGAGCTTAGCGTAGTTGTGATTGCCAAATGTTCAGTCTTTTAACATCACAGACAAAACAACTGATTAATCAAATAAGTAGCTGTAAGATTTATCAATAATTTAGTTGCATAACTAAAAGGAAAATCCCACTTTATAGCTATAAAATGTCTCCAGATAGACCAGAATTGGATATCAAAACCTTTTATAAACATGGCCTACAGTGGACAAGTCCTAATGCAAGTTTTAAAAGAAAAGGAGCTGTAAAAAGAAAAATTCATCTCTTCATTTCCTTTTGGCTCCTATTCTTGATAAAGCAAAGAAACAAGTGTTAAAATGAACAAAAACATGATGCACATTTTCACCCTCTATTGTATATCCACATTCAAAGGTACAAGGAAAATGCTTTGCGGCTTTCCAGTATCCACCATGACAGACCCACGAGTCCTCGGGATGAGGCAGTATTCTGGATCGAGTTCACTATGAGAAACAAAGGAGCCAAGCACCTGAGGGTCCAGGCCCATGAGCTCACCTGGTACCAGTATCACAGCCTGGATGTCCTGGCCTTCCTCCTTGCCGTTGTCCTCCTCCTCATACTCCTTTTTATCAAGACCTGCAGTTTCTGCTTCCAGTGGTGCTGTGGCAGAAAGGAAAAAACAAAAAGAAAGGCTGAGTAACGGGCTGAACTGAAGTGTCATTGGTAAAGACTTTCAGTTTAGTTCACTGGCTTTCCTGTTGGTCTAAAGTATGTAATGAAACTACAAACTCTTGGATTTGTATTCATCACCACTTTGAAACTACTTAAAATGTAAGAACATTTACAAAACACTATCACTGAACAGGATGTTTGTGACACTCCTGCTTTACTTCAATGGTACCTAATAAGGTGGCATAATATGCTAACAAGGAACAAGGATTTTGTTGTTTCACTTGTTTTGTCACAATAAACCTGAAGTTGCACAGCTAACCTCTGACCAAACACCCTGCATTTGGACCTTTGTTAATAGTAACCTTTTTTTTAGTAATTAGCAAAACTGCTCACAGCTGCACACTATTTTGCATGCTTACACCTGAGGCCAATTTGACATTAAAAGTTGAATGTTTATTGGATGGTGTGAGTTTGGAGAACAACAATAAAACAAAGTGAGTACAGAAATGCTGAAACTATGTTCAGATGGGGGAATCTTGAATTCTAATGAAACCACCATCACAAACACAGCCACTGGAGGCTTTAGCTGAGTTTGGTACTTAACACAAGGGTGATCTTAAAAACCCTGCCCCTCAAAGAAGCTGACATCACCATTTCACAATCCAAAGAGTAGACCCCGGGACAGCTCGTATCCAAGGGTTGTCTGGGACCAGTCGACACAAACCCATCCAGGCTGAGGGAATTGTGGACATGCAACTGGTGAAGACAAAATAACAAATTAAAAATACCAACTAGTATGTTGTCTGTAAAAGAACTTATTGAAATGTCTTTCTTCCTACCCTAAACACCTGACATCCAGGTGCTCCCATGTCTCCCTCACAGCAACTGTAGCGTGTCTCCACCCCACCCGGCACTGTAACAGTTTCAAAACATCCCAAATGCATTAAAATGTTATAACTTACACCATCATATTTCAAAGCATAAAACAATGCTATAGATCTGCAATGATTGGTCAATCACAATGAATATGATCAATTCAGGAAATCAGTTGGCCACTTCCTTTTGGAACCCAAGTTTGTACACATTCACAGCAAGCCATCCACTAGTTGTTAAGATACAGTATTTTAGTCTGAATCTAAACTGAGCAACACTGCCATTCTTTGAAACATAACAGGAATAGTCTAAGTAATGATAGTGTTACTTTTGAAATGTGCCTTTAAAACAACTGGTTTTCACTTGGAATCCCAAAAACCAATCTTAAAATGACAAACATATGTTACCCCTCCCACAAAAACAAGTGACCTGATTCTCTCCTACACTTCAGTGGTTTGGTGGGGAAGTCACACCCTCATGCTCTCACGACTTCCTCCGCTTATGCAACTGTGGCCAAGTGCTCTGAACTAATAAGGTATCCTTTTACTCTATTCTCTCTCTCCACAGCTAACAAGTAGAATGTAGGTTACTAAGGTCTGTTTTTACTTTTGGGAGTTATAATACAGTTTAAAGGTTATTCTTGTTTTTTTAAATATTGAGTTTAACTTTAATGAATTCTTATCTTTTGGTCCATGCTGCACAAAGAGGAACTGCAAATCTGAGTTCAGCTTTGTTAATAATTACTCTCTTAGAAGCACCTTTATATCAGGCTTTGCATCAGGCTACAGCAGTCATTCTACCTGAGCATGGAGTTGAGGCAGCATCTCTCCCTTTGTGTCCTGCTGGTTCTTTGTACGACATGGAGTACAAATGGAGGGAACATTTTGGTGTGGTACACTGAAGGCAGCCACTGGATTAACATCAAGCCTGTGCTGGAGACCCTGAT